GTTAGTTCTTCATCTCGTGATATCAGATATAGCAGATGACAACAACACAAAGCTGTACATGAACATGTGTGATGAGTACAGTTTGGATTAGGATGAAGAAGGTAGCCAGTGCCATGCTCAAGCCTGAAAAGGAGAAAGGGGGTGTTTACCCACGGAAATGAGTGGGAGTGCTCTGTGTACCCCACATTGTTTCACATGTGAGCCAACACAACTCTGCAGAATTACACTTATCCTGTGAGTAAACTTAGAAGAGTAAACTCGCTTGACTAACAGCCCATCAGACAAGCTGCCAGAGTGTTCTTTTAGATCTGGCTGATGTTCCTTTAACCACAATGATCACTCCTTTTAAACACAATCACCTCTGTGGATTATGCCTTGACTTTCTTCAATGGGAATTCTAGATAATAATCTCCTACTCTAAGATTCCCCCACGTCTATATTCAATAATATAATGTAGATGTGATATAATAGAATGTAACCAAATAAATTAGAAATGAGGAAATGTTCTCAAGGAAGGAAATATCTACAACTACTTGAAAATAAAAAGGGGAAGCGCCTTGAGATTCCATGTTTCTAACAAAAATTTAGTCTAAGATGGAAAAATGGTAGAGACCTAACATAGGTGAGACTATGTCAGGATCTGTAGTACAGTGAAGAATGGGTCAGCCACTGAGCCAAAAATAACAAGGATGTCAGAAATACATTAGGAAAGCAGAGCTGCCTAGTTACTCACTTCTATTCCAATATTCCTGCCTTGAAAAATGAACTCTTACCACTAGAGGGTGATGTAATCTAACACCTGACTCAGCTCTAACAACTGACTCAGCTCACCAAATATCTTGATATCTCAAGTTATCAATGCAAGATGGCTCCCAGTGTCTGATCTGTGACACTAGAGGACACTTGAAGGGCACCAAACCTTAAGGAAATCCATGATGGTCAAATTATTTTAATCACTGAATGTTGTAAGTTGCCCTATCTTGTTAATGCAGTCTGCAAGTACACACACACACACACAGAAACAGAGACAGAGAGACACAGAGAGATATACAGAGACCGAGAGACAGAGATAGAAAGACACACATACACAGAGAGAGAGAGAGAGAGAGAGAGAGAGAGAGAGAGAGAGAGAGAGAGAGAGAGAGAGAGAGAGAGAGAGAGAG